ATGTGATGCGGATTAGCGTCATTTTTAGCCTTGGCTCTGCAGTTATAGTATGTATCTGTGACACCCTAAATACGTAAAAAAAAAAAGAAAAAAAACCACAAAACCGTTTACGAATAAATACGTTTCATGGTCTACGACTTATGCGTGAAACATTTTCCTTTACCTTGAAATCAGTATACGGGTATTGGTATAGTTGGTATAGGTACTGATTAATTTGGGATCGTAAACTCGATAACGATTAAAATACATCAAAAACGATTCGTATTCGTTGGGAACGTGACATAATTCCTTAAAACACTTTACCGATCAACTGAAAATGTACAATTTATTACGATTATTACTGAATCCGAATTGATAACGTAAATTGTATACTGTCTTTACGGTCGCGATGGGAAAAAGACGGGCATACTTCACGGGATGTGTGACTGATGTGGGTGAGAAGACGGTAAATTAGGCGATATAGAAGGGAATTTAATTTATATATGTACGCAACGATAAACTGTCGCTAACGCAAAACGATTAGCAGCGAAGTTTCTTTTATACCTGTAAGTAAATTTTCTCGTTTTTTCAAATTATTATGAAAACCGCTTGGGATATCAAAAAATGGCCATTTTAAAGTGCCAACGAGATAAAGTTTTCTTTCGTAAAAGGCGCTGTACTTGATACATCTGAGATAATAGATATCGTCTGTAAAACCAGTACATTCTTCGTTACGTTCTAAATCTAAAACTATTCATTACCGTAAACCCAGCCTAGTTGAAACCACTAGGTACGCGGTTTTTAATTTTCAAACGGACAAACTTAAAAACAATTGGAATATTACCTATTCAACGTATAGTAGCGCACTGGGGATCGAATTCAAACTCCCCTCCCTTCATGTATTAAGGGATACGTGTACATGTACGATATTATTTTTAAAATCGGTTTGTACATTCGAGATTATTAAAATTGAAACTATCACACATACACAATGAAATAAAGGAAAATAATTTTAAGTAGGTAGTAAGCCTACATAACGTTTAATTTGAACTATTTATTATTCATTATAAACAATTCGACTTGACGTTGTAATTTGTTTCAATAGGGAAGACTTGTCGGCCGGGCTCTATGCTGTCAACGAAAATTATTTAATTACCTCCGATGAAGTGCTACTGGTCGAATTATCGAATAACATAAGAGAAAAAATAAAGTCGTTAAAACGTTTGTCATAAATGTTTACCTAAATAGTATTAATAATGTAATTATATCTAATGATTAACTGTCCACGAACTTTATTATAAAGATTTTGATTTGTTTTATTAACCATCAGTACACACGTGTGTTTGAAAAATGTTTCTTAATTTTTCTGAAAAATTGTATTTATAAAAGGGAAATGATTGTTCGTGTAATCTTTGTTCGACCCCTCACCCCCCACCAGAGCAAGATTGAATGCACGCCACTGTCAACCGAAAAACCGATAAAAGAAAAGGCAATACCAAAACGCGTTTAGATTAAAAATTCATCTATTTTAGGAAATGTTCAATATAGTATACAGGTTTTCCTATTGAAAACCAAATGCGTTTCACCACAAGAAGGCGACGAAAAATAATGATACGTGCCGTAACAGGTGTTGAAAAAATGCTTGTTTCTTACATCTTTCGTGGGAAAACAAATGCCGATAAAAGTTAATATCTTGCGAAATACAATGTTATTGTGAACCGAATGAAAGTGTTTTTTTGATTTTTACGAATCTATTAAAAAAAATTCCGCGAATTTTCAGGAGCACGTAATATACAGACAAATACGCGACTTTGTTCTTTACACGATGACATATCCGACCGTAGTAGTATAGAACACTGTTTCTCATTATAAATGTTAATATGCACGAGATTACTACATACACACTCGAATATAATACGCACGTAACGTATAAAATAATACGCGAGAGTCGCGTAGTAAGGTATTTAAAGGCCGCAGAAAGATTAAAATATCCGCATACACCTGTAATATACGATTTTCAGTCTCATTGAAATTCGACGCCAACGTCGAACGTGTTTACACGTATATGCGTATAGTAGACTGTATAATATCTTATATAATACGTAAAAAAATAAATGTTGTCGGAGTGTCTATACGTGTATACGAGGACAGAGATACGTCTTGCGCGAAGCTTTGGAAAAATCATTTATACGCTGAGATTCGGCGGGTGTATGCGGGTGTATGAGTAGTATAAATAGGGCTCGGATCTTTTAGCGAAATAAATCGCTGAAAAACCGTTATTTCGAAATAGCTCCCACTCCCCATTCAAAAAAAAAAAAAAAAAAACATCATTTATTCAATCGAACTTTGGAAATTGAAAAAAGATATTGTCGAAACATTTTTTTTTTTTTTTAAAACGTTTTCTAAAATTAAAATACAATCATATGCAGCCGACGTGTATTTAGTAGGGTTATAAGGAAAGGTGAAAGAAAATTGCGGCTAATTTATAGTTTGGCCTTTTTCTAGGTTAAGTTTCTTTGAAACCTATTCCGCCATTACAGGATTCCTATGCTTTGTTGACAACGTCATTCATCTGAAAACTATACATATTAAACTATATAATCAAGACGCTATCTAAATATTATGATCTTAATCATTTTTGCAAAATTGTCGGGAAAAGTAACCTCATCGCGCGAAAATCATTTTGTGCATTATCATTTATTGTTTCTGGCCACTTAATGCAACTATAAATTATAAACATTATAAAAAAATTATTTTTGCTCAGCAACTTAGAAACAAAAAATAATATATTATAGACTTATTTTGCGTCTTCGAAAAATTATTTTAAAAACCCATAGCGAGTTAAGCTAATAAAAATGTTTTAAAAATTCAGGATTATTTTTTTATTAAACACTCGAGAATTGATTCCAATGGAAAATACGATAATTTTCCGTCTGAAAACGTCTGATAATCATTGAGTACCAAAGGATATATTTTGTTTCTAATGCCTTTGTATTTATTTATATTGGGGCGTCTCTTTTCACATAGGTGATATAGGCGGAAATCCATTGAAAAAGTTGGGAGACTACGATTTTTCTTATAAACCAAAGCCGTGCGGGACACCCCCCTCATAAATTATTCTGAACGAATTTTTAATTTGACATTCAATGTAAGCTATAGTCTATAAATAAAAGATTATCACAACCGCGGGTTGAAGTGTGGCTTTTGGGTCTGAACGAAAAATGTCAAAATATCCATAAACGTCTCATAGATTTGTTTGTTTGTATACCGTCCTGGGAAAAACTCCCATTGATGAGATTTTCGATTTTTCTACTTTCCGACCGATTTTCATGGACATTGTTGGTTTTTTTTTTTTTTTTATATTTTGTAAGAAATTTATAAATTTGGTGGCCCTAAAAAATGCTGTTCTAATAGGATTGTTTCTGAAATGAATAATTTTCAATACGACATATTTGTTTCATCGGTTTGTAATTAATATTTAATATATTGAATGATAGGTACTCACACGTTTTATATCATTTTCACAATGCAATCATTAAAGCGGTCTACCGAACAACGTAAAACAGTTGGAATTATCTGCGTAATGTCCTATACGATAATAATTTACTCCTCACGTTTTACGACTCGTACACATGGAGGTACATAAAAACCGAAAACCGCGTGTTCACAAATAATAATAAATACTTACAAATATATAATTTGCCGCTTCCGATTCGTCTACTCTCGTAACGTGCCCAAACCGTTTCAGTCTATTTTCTCTCGTTTCGTCCACCGTCGGAGCCACACCTAAACTACCTCTTAATTCCTACGTACTCGCTTCTCGATCTGTTCTTCTCTCGTCATTCCAATCATTCGCCTAAACATTCTCGTCCGTTGCAACGCTCGTTCTCCGTTCAATTTTGCCTGTCTACCGCCCAACGCTTAGGCCTATTACAAAACATTACGGTTATGCGTAGGTCTCGGTGAATCGTTGTGACACAAACACCAATTGGTTTATTTAAATTCTCAAGCCGTCGGACATTAGATAATTGACGACTTGCGAGCCGCGTATCGTGTAACGAACTGTTCACCGACGTGCCGTTGTATGGGCGATATGCGAGCGTGTGTGCAGAGAAAAACAAGGCTGCGTGTACGATAAGAAAGAAGAGTACGTGCGTTTTTTTTTTTCGTCGAGTTTGTTGAAACAATGGACAACGACGATTGGTTCTAGGTCAGTTCGCGCGGCCGAGCACGAAAAACACGGAACGCGGACACTCCATACCGTTAAATACATAAACGTATGCACGGAATATATTTATGTATTTCACACATATGAACATATGGACACATGGTATAAATTATATAGTGTACATATAGTTTTACGTGAATTTACTATCGATACTAGTTTTATTCTTGTCATACGATATTTCCCTATCGCGGAATCGACCAATACCGAATGGAATTTAATGCAAGTGTTATCGTTAACAATTGAAAACTACGTTTTTCTTATTTTTTTCGGAACATTTTAACTTGTTGGACGTTATTCGAACAATTGACTTTCACTTAGATTTTCGATGCGGCTTTTAAATACGTTAACTCTTAAATAAATATTATTTAATATTCGTTTATAATAATTGTACGTGTAATAATAATAATAATAATAATAATAACGATAACAGTGTCCGCGTTTTAATACTTTTATATTTGATGTACAGGCTTATACGATCACCACAAAATAATATAACCGACGCATTCAACGTACTCAACTGGGTCTGTGTATTGTCTGTGCACGTATACTTGCTATATAGTGCTGTACACATGCACTGGTACGAAGTGTCCGCGCTCCGCGTTTTAAACAATAGACAGTACGTCAGTGACCGTTTACCACTGTGTTTTACCAAAATCCGGCGATCCGTGTTTGCATCTTTTTTCACGCAGTCCACCCACCGTAACTGCAGTCCCGCAATAGGTCTCCTCCCTACCGGGTTTTCTTCAATTGCTTTTCTTATCGGCGAATCACACTTCCTCCGGACATGTCCTCGCTACACCAAGCTTCTATTCTCTATTTCCTTTAGTGTCACTAGGACGCTGAAACAGGTATTGATGTCCGTCAATTTATTTCGTTCGTTAATCTGAGCATCGATGTACGGCCCGTACATTTTCTTGAGAACTTTTCGCTCAAACACTCGGCTCAAGTTCGTCGTAATCTGTTCCAACATTTTCGAAGCACTTGGTTGGACGCCTCGGCTGATTGCCCCTAATGAGCACCAAACACCTTTGGTATGCAACACAGGCATGCGTAATCTTGCGTGCACTATCAGCCAATATTTTTAGCGCATTTCATTACACGATCAGAACGATTCGAAACGTATTTACACGCGTGCATAAGAATATTGTCTTTCTATCGCACTCTCCGCCGAATTAACAGTTCGCTACAAACACCCTAATAACTATTATTGTAACGGTGTGCGTACGGTGCCTATATTTTCAACCTTCCCGAGTGTTAGTAATACGCGAAAAACGTTTAGATACAGGTATATGATGTATACACGTAATATTATAACTATCGCGGTGTGCTGAGGTTACGATGATGCGTGTTAAGCGCACGCTGTATATATGTTTATATATAGGTACCGAAATGCGAAAAACAAACCTCGGAATATTATCGTGTCCGGACTATATACTCGTATTCGGCAGCAACGAAAAACGGGTAGGTGGGTAGTAGGTAATAACTTTTATGCATGCATACATTATGATTATATAATGTGTGTGTGTGTGTGTGTGTGTGTGTGTACGTGTGTAAGTATACGAGGGCGGCCAAGAGGTAGGGGAGGGTAGGTATAGAGCAAGGTTGTGCCTTGCACCTCACACGCTCGTGCCCGCTAATAATCAAAACGTAACTAATCACCCCGAGCACGCTATACGACTACACATCTAATATAATAATAATAATAATATATGCAACTCAAAACGAAATCACACACACGCACACCCTGCGCACATATACACTCGTGTACTCGTGAGTCGCCGTCGCCGTCGCGTAGGTATATAACACACGTATACATCGTGCGCGTATTGTTATTATTATTATTACAACGTGCGCCAACCGCCCTCCCCCCCTCTCCCCTCCCCTCCGCCCAGCCGTCCCGAGAGAATCCGTTACGCCTCGCACTGCCGGCCCGCCGCCGTTCGGGCTCGGCACGTAGGAACGTAAGACGGACCGAACACGGCCCCGGTGTGTTATCAATTATCGCACGGGGCCGGGTTCCGAGGGATTTGACGGTTTTCCGTGTGTATGCGCCCGCGGCGCATAATAACGTTACGGGCTACGGCTGAGTGTATTGTTACAGATACGCGCGCCGTTTAGCCGACGCATCGACGACCCGCGTGCCGCGATTACACCGGCGCAGTTTATCGATTTCGGTTTTTCTGTTTTCTCTTCGAGCGTTTCGTTAAATTATAAAAAATATTATACGTTGTAATAAAAAAAAAAAAAAATAAAAAAAAATAAAAAACGTGTGTGAAATTTTGATGTCGTTATTTATTATCGAAAATAAAAAAAAAATATTTTAATTTTCGCGCGCCCTCAACGTTTTTCACACGCCGTCTCGCATACATTCGCCATTCCTGATATATATATATATAGATGTATAGATGATAGGTGACGCGAATTTACTACTAGTATTTTAAAACGACGCGCGAACACTTTTACTAACCGGAAAAACGTTTGCCGAGAGAATAAAGCGCACATATTAAAGTTAAGAACCTAACGAGACGGAGAAAAAAAGTATTGTTCTTTTTTTATTAACTATTTGGAATACAATATTATTGAATGATTTTGAAAATAAATAGTTTTAATATTATACTCCTCGAAGTATCTTTTAAAAATATTCTGAATACGTTATTCGGAATACTGCCCGCGACTAGCCGGCACTGCAGCAGATTAAAGGTACAATGAGTATACGTACCTGAGATTTCCGTCTCAAACTTAAGGTTCCACCGGCAACAACAACGGTACATTATCACAATTCGTCCCTATTACAGAGCCTTTTGTTCGTCTTTGACAATTTCGACTGTATACCCAGTAAAGTGTATACCTGGGTCGAATTCGGGTAGATACGCTTTCAAAAAACGTATACACAGTGATTAAAGTGGACAGATTCCGAAGTGGGATTATATTATATTTACTGACGATTTAGGGGTGTTCCGAAAAACGAAAGACAAGACTTCCAAACTCATACGCACATTTATTCGTAGTAATGTTATACGAATAGGGGTTAAAAATAAAGTGCACTGCCCTCTCTTATGTTAAAATAAAACGAATTCGAGTTTTTTAAATTTCATTAAAAATGTCTCAGTGACAATAACTGAAACGTAATGACAATTTAACATTGAATAAGAAGGGAACTAAGTTCCCCTCCGCCCGTCCTCCTCCAATTTACCCACACCGTAAATTATCCGCAATAATAGTTTCACGAGTCTCTTAGTTTTTATATCGGTCATATTTTTTTTAATTTTAATAGCGGACACGAATAATATTCGTTTAACTTTATGCGTAACGGAAGTGATGTGTGCATAATATTATTATGTTTGTGTGTCGAAAACAACTGAATAATTTCTGTTATACAGTCGTGAAAGCTGACGTACGTATAAATCCATGACATCGCATGTGTCTGCTTCATTTATAAAAAAAAAAACAAAAACAAAAAACAAAAAGTCGAGATATATATTATATACGGTTGTGTTTTCGAGCCGCAGTGTACTGTTTGTAATTGAAAGGGTTGTTGCTAAAGAAAAATTAAAACTCGTGAAAATTAGTAAGAATAAAGAATAGCTCCGGGAAGCGTGTATGGAGGCGAACTGTCTAATAGAAATATTACGTGTTTTTTTTTATTTTATTTATTTTCGTTTTTCTTTGCTGCGAGACGGAAAACAAGAGCCGGACGTGGGGGTTTTTTAACTTGGTTTATTTCCCCTTGCCGAAAGTTCTTAAGTAAAAAAAAAAAAAAATAAAAAAAAACAACAACAACAACGAAAACACAACCGCCCAAAAGATAACCGTATATTATTTAGGACTCTCCGTGCAACTTTAAATTAGAGTTGTTAATGAGATGGCATCGGTCACGGAGCTCCTGCAGCGGACTATTTTATATGCGGCTGGTTGCAATAATACGTCATTATAATGGGACCCTAACATTTATTTTGTATATAGACGTGGCATTTCGGTGAAAGTACCCCGTATATAATGTACACTTATAATACTCGTGTACACACATATACACAGCCGAACCCAGCACTTTTGTCTTATTGTTGTTTCAGTTGTAAGTACGTTTTTGTGCGCACTAATTTGAACATAATACGCGAATCATGTTTAACAATATAATATTGTTATGCACTCGGAGACCGGAGTGTGGTGCGTACGTACACGAGAGAAGAGAAAAACGAATACATTTTTTTTTTTTATTTCAAATATTATTTTTACTATTGAAATAATATGTGGGTCGAATAAAAACCTCGGTCCAATTTTGCCGAGTTGATTATTTCTTTAATACGCCCATTCGATTATTTTACGGTTAACTATTATGACAATAAAAATCGAAAACGTATAACGATAATCGTCTCTGACGGTTTACTTCGTTCTCGTAACCGCCCGAAGTACCGATTAAATATTGTACAGTTATATCGCTCAGCGAGCAGACATGAATCTATAATAAGCTGAACCGAGGGCGGATGACAGCGTATGAAGAAGCGCTAAACGGAAATCATCGGAACAAAGAAAACTGTACGGACCAGTTCGATATAAGATGGCGAAACCGACGGGTTGGCCGTATTATAATCGGACGTTGTGGGCCTGTTAAAATTAATTGTAGAAGCGGACGATATCGTGCGTACGAAGATCTGGGCTGGAAACGCCGGAGCGCGCACCGAACAGATCCAATAACGACGGATCGATGTTTTAAACGCCATCACGTCCAGCACGCGCAATTTTTTAATAATTAGGAGACGGGAACGGGGTGTGTTAACGCCGCTCAGATCGGCTACATCATCGCGTTGAGATGACGTACATATCCCGCCCCCC